AACCAAGCTTCCCTATTTACTAAAATGCACATTTGTGTACTGATGAAGAGCTTTGTAGGCTAGGAACAGGGCTTTAATTGTTAAACAAGAAAACAACCAGCAACCCACAAAGCAAAAAGAGGACAGTGGAGCTCAAAGAAGAATGTTCATTTTCTTCTCCTTCTGAGCGGGATTTGAGGTCACCTGGTTGGTTGGTGGGGTGGGGGCAGGTGGGAGATGCTGGCTTCTTTAGATTCCTATCCTGGGGTGGGGTAATGCACCCCCCAGGGCAGTATGGAAGCTGCAGACCACCCAGGGAAGCCCGCCCTGCCTCTCCTGCTCTCACAGCTCTTTAATTTAAGGAAGGTGAGTTTGTGGCAGTAGCAACACGGAGTTTGGGGGCAGTGGTGATGACAAGAATCTACCTAAGTGGAGGCAATCTCTGCTTTCTGTCACCTGAAATGTTTTTCTGGGTCCTCCCCCAAATCATTCAGCCATTGACATTGGCAACAAAGTCCAGTTTGCACAGCTGGTACCCACAGTGCCAAAGTAGCCAGTGGAGCTGATGGGAAAAGACAATGGTGGATAATTCTTACACATCTCTTGCCTTCCCATTAACTTTATTTCAGTCCTCTGTGAAAGGAAAGCTGGGCAAAGTCTTCACCCTTGTAAGTTTGTGGCATTCATTTCACCTCCAATTCATCCTGGGTTCCTGTAAGCTTGTTCAATGTCTTCACTGATCTGTGCCGCCAGGGTTGGATGAAGCAGCTCTCATACCTGAGACTTGCATCCTTTTTCTTCCACACAGGCGGTCCATTGCTGCCCCTGAAGTGATAGGTGTTCCCTAAGAAGAGAGGCCACTGAGTTAGGCTTCAGCTATCCCTGCTTGGCTGAGAGCTCCTAATAACACTGCTGGCAGCAGGGCTCTGCCGACGACACAGGAAGGAAGAGATGTTTCTTTAATGATGGAAAAATATTAGAGCACAATGCCCTTAAAATAGATTGTGTGTGCCTAGCCTTTATTTTGAGGACTTTATTGTTGTGACCATCTCCCCTGGGAAATGCTGCAGGAGGCTTTTTCCCTTCAGTGAAGCAAAGTAATTGTGTAACCTGAGGTGTCCCTGAGAGAGCTGCGGGGATGATGTCAATACGCAGGTTTTGGAAACATGACTACATTTTTATGTTGATCAGTGCTTCAGCAGGTCCCACCTTTCCAAACTCCGATTTCTGAAAAATGGAGATGATCGTGTATGTGCTGCCCATCCTACAAGGTTGCTATGAGGATCAAAGAATATAATGTTCAAGATTGTTTGCACACTGTAATATCTGACAAATGCAAAGTGTCACTGTTATTGACAGCTGGAAGCCCTGCCTTCTCCTYCGGGTGTTGGTACCATTCCACTTTTCATTTTTTTTTTTTAATGAAATAAACTTTAGTCCTATTATTGAAATTCATCCTTTTGTATTGACTCAGGATGAGATCTGCAGAACATTCAGTGTCCACACCAGAGAACTGACGCTAAGTTTGGCTGAGATCAGCGCATCCTCTCATCTCCCCATTACATGGTCAGGGCAGTTGTCATGATTTCCAAGAAGCAAAGAATGGATCCCAGATTGATTTTTCATTATGTTCCTCATTCCAGAAACCCTTGGGAATCCTGTCTGAATTTCTTTAGTGTTAGGATCCTGGCATTTGGTCTAACATTCAATGTCACCTTCTTTTTTTTTTTTTTTTGCTTTCTGAAAACCATCAGTGAAGAAAATCCTTCTGATTTCATGGTTACCTACTTTTCTCTTTCATTAGCTTCCCTTTATTTGGACCATTATTACAGCCTATTAGCAGGTCCAATGACTTGGCTGGGGACGGTGTTAATGATTCTCAAGAGATCCTTCTATCTGAGGGTGATTGGAAAGAATAAGAAAGTTGTTAGCCACCTCAGCCAGCATCAATGGGCTGTAAGATCCAGGCTCCTCTGCAAATGCCTTGGTTTCCATTTCTGGTCACAATTCACTTTTGACCAGAAAATGAATAGGTGGGACCCATGTTTCATCAGGAAAAGGGTGACAGTGCTTCTAAAAGGAACCACCTTCAGCAGACATGGGTTCTGACCTTTGTGACATGTTTGGTATGAGGCACCAAGAGAAAAAAAAAAAGTTATGGTATTTGTGTGTGCAAATGTGTGTGTGAATGTGTTTGCAGAGTGGAATGGAGACCTTCTTTCCCTCACTACTCTGCTGCCTCCCTTAATTTGCTCAAATTTCATTTCCATTTACTAGGGGACATCTGTGCATTTTTCTGCCCAGCCACATTTAATGCACATCAGTTCAGCCCTAACCCTCTGTTGAGGTCAACTCTGTTCCTCCTCCAGGCATCTCCAGAGGTGGGGGAGGGGTCAGAGCTAAGAATACACAATACTCTAAATGGAATATTGAAGATCCCCATCTGTCTGGCAGTCTCAATCAATAAATATGATCCCTTTCATCCACTTCTGTACGAGAGACACGTTACCACCTGGTTTTAAGACAAGCATGAGATGTGGGCTTCTATGGGTTACTGAGTCCAAACACCCAGCTGTCATAATGCTGAGCCAGGAAAAGGATTAGGCTCTTAATCATGTTATTTTGTTACTAAAGGGTTCTTTTAAATCCCTCATACCCCTTTCCCTCAAGCAAAATGTACCACTGTTTGAAATTGGAGGTGCCTTTCTGACACTTTGACTTGCTGAATGATTTTTCTTTCTTTCTTTCTTTTTTTAATGACTTTTGTTCAGGCTCTAAAACCTAGGACCATGGATCTGGAGTGTCTTTTTTGGCTTTAGCCAAATCCCAATACTGAACAAGGACACCAGTTTGTGTTTACCTGACATGACTCTCCAAGGAAGCAGTCCGATCCAAGAAATCAGCTCTGGACCCATAAAGCACCCCGCTTGGTCTGTATTGCTTTAGCCACTCCTAAGGGACAACAGTCTAAAGACACTCTGCAGAAATCTTCAACCCTTTAACAAGCACATAACCAAGCAGATAACAATTAAAAATCTGAGTTGTCTGATGCATTTTGTGTGTGTGTGTGTGTGTGTGTGTGCGCGCACGGGGACATCCCTGGGGCCCCAGCTAAAATACTAGCTACACCTGTTCAGCCTCTGTCACCTCGTCACCAAACCAGAACAAAGCTGACTGCAGCAAAAGGCACCCAGACAAGTATTAGGTTGCACGGCAGGGACTGTTTGCTTTAAATCCCTGTGATCTGAGCTTCTGGCAGCTCTTCCCTCAGCTCAGATAAAGAACTCTGGCAGATCTAGCTGGGAAAGGGTAATGTGTGTGTGTGGAGAGCTTCCGTGAGAAAGGATGATGAGAGGGAGATACTGTGTGGGTCTGGAGTCAAGTCTATCAGGCTAGTATTGCTCTGGATGCATGGGATAAGAGGCAATGAATTTGTCTTCTGCTTAGTTGCTCTCCACTAGCTTGGAGATCAGGACAAATCCTTCACTGACTCAGTGTACCTCAGCTCCGCCCACCCTTTTCCCGTCAGACTAGCTGTTAAACACCCTCTGAGTTCTACCATAGGACACTTGGATACAACTGGGTAGAGCAATCTGTAAGTCATAGAAGGAGAGGGAAACTTTTCTATCTGGCAAAAGAAGAGACAATCACTGAGCTGATTCAGTGTGTTTCCTAGAGAATCTGAAATTGGATGTGGGCTTTCCACTTGTGTTGTTCCTACCAACTTGGCATGTCATCTGGCACAATGCCCAGCCTGCCTGCAGCCTCTCCCCGGACCAATCCATTATCCACATTACTGCCAGGTAGATTTCTAAGGCACTGACACATGTACTTGCTGCTTCACACACTCACAGCAGGGCAGTGCTCCAGTGCCCAGCAGCTCAAACCCCACATGTGAGGACCAGGCTACTCCTGTCTTCCCTATCCCCCTCAGTGGCTGCACCCTACTAAGATCTCACAGGCCCTGTGTGAGACCTCTGAGTTTTGTTTCTAAGCAGCACACTTGGTGTTTTTGCACTAGATCTCTCCAGTTCCTTGGTTAGGTCTCTAGACAACTCACACAAGAACCAGCTCCAAAGTTCCACATGACCTTAACCTTTGGGGAGCCCCCTCAACAACACTGATGCTTATATCCAAATGGTAATTACAGGGGCCATGTCAGTCTGTCTTTGTAAATGAGAAGGCAGGAACTATACCTAGTCAATTCAGTGCTGAACAGTGATATACCTCACAAATACAATTGGAAAATGATTTGGGAAAAGATGGCTAGGCCAGATCAAGAGACCACTGTAGGCCCCAACCTGCAGCTTCTCACACTCAAACTGACCTAAAGCATTAAAAAAAAAAAAAAAAATTACCCTGGAAGGTCAAGAGTAAAATACCTTAGCTGAGGACTTATTTTAAACAACGGTTTTTAAAAATACCCAAGAGGGGAAATCTGATCCAGGCATTTCATATTCTGCAAAATAATAATCAAGTACTGCATCCCAATATACCTCCAACCGTGTCTTCTGAGTTATAAGAAAGAAATGCTAACTAGGAGTAAAATCTAGCACCCTTCACCTTATTAATATGTAAAAAGGCTGAAGTCACATCTGTGCAAGGATCTATTTTTAGTGGACCCTACATWCTAAAATCCTAGCCTTGATCTCTTAAACTATCAAGCCTACCATAAATGTTTGATGATGAACAAGCCCATAAAAAGAAAACGCATAAAATGAATAGAGGGAGTCAATGCGTGCTCTGCCTTTTAATTACCAGTGGCTTCTGCTAAAATTCTGCTCCAGGCTGGGGGCAGGCATAGAAAACACATCGATAATTTGGGTGGGGGGAGCAGGGTGTGGATATTGCAAACAGATATGTCTAAGGGCATAGTTATTTATGCTGGGGAAACTAAATAGAGATAGAGGAAGAGGAGAATCATGCCGAAAATGAGCAGAGGGTGGGGAAAGCGGCTATAAAAAGATAAAAAATATATATATTTAAGAAATTAAAAAAATAAGCACCCAAGACGCAAAAAATAATGTAGAACAGTCTGGTTTTATTACTTTTCAGTAATAAAGAGCCTTTTTCTTGCTTTTTTTCCCTTTTTTTTCTTTTCTTTTTGTTTTTCTTTTTACAACATACATTAAGTCGTGAATCAGATGTTAGGGGATGTGGAGATGGAAGGAAAATTGGTGACATCACAATATTTTTACAACTTTACAACAAATATAAATCTGAGTTTTTGCATCTACAGTGTCTAGCAAGGGTGGGAAGCAAAGGCACACTCGGGTTTATGGACCCTCCCCCCACACGCAATGGGGAAAAGAAAGGGGGAAACACTTCAATGCAGAAGACCAGCTCAATACATGTGGGCATAGTAGGGTTAACACCGCAAGTGACAGGTGGTGGGATGCAGGGATATGGGACGTGTAAGTTTTGACACAGGTCTCCTTAGCACAGCGGAGACAATGATGCCCGCAGACACCGGCATTCGGTGGTGCTCAAGTCGACGAGTGGTGGGCACGACACTGTCAATACTCTTGGGAGTCAAGCACGAGGGTGAAGGTAGCAGGGTGACACACACCCATCACCTCCCTAACTTCTGCATTTTTTGAAGAAAAGGGAGAAAACAGTATCTTGATTTCCAGGCAAGTCTTCCAGAAATCATGGGTTCAGGGTACAGAGTTCACAGAATGTGAACAAGGACTCCACTAAAAAACAAAACAAAACAATAGCTACAACCGACCCCAAACAAACAACCAAACCTGGAGGAACTCTGGGAGCCAAGGGCTGTGCTCGCACCCGCAGCGACACTCAGATCTGACTGTGGAGCCACCGCGTTCCCCTAACCAACTCAGTCTTTCTCTGCAAGTTTCTTAAAAAATTTTCAAAGACAAAACTAAACCCAGAAGATCAAACTAGAAATTAAAAGGGACAAGAAGACCACCAAATATACTGTTTAACGTTTTTTTTTTTTTTTAAATAAACAAAAACACTAACAACTGACAACAATGCTTACGGTTTACAGTATGTTGACAATTCTTTTGTTCATGATAGAGTAAACAGAAGTCTCTTCTGTGTGCTTGAACGAAATGAAAACCATGGGGAGAGACACACAGGCCATCCCCTCCCAACCTCCTAGAAACAATAACAAAATGATAAAGAAATTTAAAAATAACTGAAAATACTTTGCCCCAGTCAATGTGTTTGCAGCATCCATTGTGGTTGGCCTCATACTTCAAGTTACTCTTTAATCACAGCAGGGACCAGCCTGCCTGCATCTATTTCCACGTCGTTGCTTTGTGTGCTGTGTACGTGCAGCACAGCTTGGAGACTCCTCCCAGGTGCCTGCCCAATGGCACACAGTGTATTCTCCAGCCAGTGGACACAGCAGAATGAGGACTGAGACGTTAGTCCCTTTTCTGCTGCCTAATGAGGATGTCACCATATTGAAATGATCTGAGAATATAAGGGAAGCAGGGGCTCTGGGATTTGCCACCCACGACACTGGGGTCCATGCTCGGCAGCACAGCCAAAGGGTGGTTCGAGTTGGCACGACTAGAAGGCAGTGTGAATCAGAGGGTGTGTGCCACCCAGTGCTCCCAGGCTGCGGTGTCTTTACGACTTTTGCCGCTGTGTTCTTCTTCCATCTGCTTGACTCCAATCCCCCAGAGGGCTGGAGTGGGGGTCGTGGGGAGGGTTAAATAAATATCTGCATTTATTTCAAAAGGAAGAAAAAATTGATCATATGACAGTTTACAGGTGTACACAACTCAGGGTGTAAGGCACAAATTTACATGTGGAAAACAGGCTATTCACAGATGTAACCCCACGAAAAACCCGTGTGATCAAACCATTAATTTATGCAAGGTAGCAGCCAGCATTTTAATTAGTTCACACCGATTGTGGATTTCGCTTTGCTGTCTCACATGCAARGTGAAATGAGATGGTGGATCTCAAGCTGGTGCCTTCGCAGAAAGTGGGGACCACTGACAAGAGCCACTTCGGCAGTAATGGGACATGATGTGCCATTCTAGAAGTTTCTCTCCTGGTTGCTTCAGAAGTTAGGATCTGGGAGGACTATGAAACTAATGGATTTTTTTTTTTTTTTTTTTTTTGCATGTTATGGCCAGAGACCTGACCATCAAATTAACTGGTAGACTTAAATAAATATTCCCCTCTTAATGCTTTCCTTTAGCTACAGACCAGACAGTCCAAACACAAAGCTCAGAATTCCAGCTCCAACTTATTTACTCAGTGAATTTATTGTAAAAATAAAGAAACTCAATTATTCCAGTTAATGGATTTCACGTTAAATAGTTTTAACTTTCTGTGGGCTTCAGAAGAGCTGTTCATAGGATGATATATGGAAGAGTCCTTTCCTTAAGAAAAAAAAAAAGAGTAGAACAATAAATAAAGAGTTACTTGCGTTAACGGTCACGTTATTTCATTAAAAGAGAGGAGCAGAAATCTATGACATAGTTGCCCAACATGGCATTTATCCGCTATAACATAAAAGCTGTAACACTGGTGGGCATTTCACAGTATCTGCGCATAGTAAACTTCTGCCATTGTTAAAGTCTGAGTTAGAATTATCAATGAATTCTTTATATATATATTTTTTTAATTTTCATGATTTTTTAAAAAATGTATTTGTGTTTTTGCAGTTTGGAACGCTAGCCCAGTTTGGCAACGTCCCGTGCAGTCATGGACACCATGTTGTGGCTGCTGTTCAACTGTGTGTGTGTGTGTGTCTGTGTGTGTTGTTGTGTGTGCATGTGCATGTGTGCATGGGGGGGTGGGTGGGTATGTGCTTTTGGCTCATGTTTGTGATGATAACTGAAGTCTTTTGTGGGTCCAACCTGCTGTAGGGTGTGCGGGAGGGTGAAGGAAGAGAATGGAGGTGAGTCCCACTGTTGCGAACCTTCACCAAACCACATGGCCCGATTGAGAGTACCCCTGCGTCCCAGAGGAGGACCCAGCTAGCGTCCTCAGTTCTGCCGTGGGCCATCTTGGTCTGGTGGATACTCCAGGCAGTTGAGAACCTTGCTGAGCTGAGCGGGCGCTYGCCTTGCCTGCTGGTTCGACTCCTGACCCCCTCCCCCTGGATTATGTACAYGCATCATTGGGCTTCATGGATGTGGAAAGGGGAGCAAAGGAGGGTTTGGGAGGTACGTCTGGCTTTAGCGAGGGAGTACGCTTCAGCCCCGACCTCGTTAGTGAATTGTAGGTGTTGAGGCTGGGCTGCCTCGAAACAGTCACGGCCTGGCCCGATGCCTGGGAGCTGTGCACCTGGATAGAGTCCACCCTCTGTGGGGCAGGAGGCGGGTTATCTCCCCTGCCAAAGCTCTGGTTTCTGGAGAGGTGAGAGGAATTGGAGGAGTTAGTATTGTTTCTTTTAAGAGTGGTGGCCTGGTGGCTTCTCGTGAGCGAGTTCGTGGGGTAGCTCCTTTTATAGTCAACCCCGTAGGAAGAGGAGTGGTGCATTTCCAGTCGCTTGCTCAGGCCGTTCTGGGACAGGGAGCCTCCCGGAGGGCCCAGGGAGGCCTCGCGCTGTGGGACCTTGGGGGGCAGGCTGTCTGGGTCCTCCACGAGGCTCACCCCATGGTTGGGACTCTTGCTGCTGAGATGATCTTTGATGGTCTTGTACTCCAGGGTGGCGGCCTGGTCCTCCAGTGCCATGTGGGCCACCTCACTCAGTTTGGGCTGGTCCACGTACTCATGCTGGTAGCCCTGCTGTGTGATGGGCAGGACCACCACGCTGGGGATGTGGCTGGGGGAGGCCCGGAGGGGCAGGTCCGTGGGAATCACAGGGGAGCCCATAGGGGGCATGTCCTTTGTGCAGGCATTGATGAGGTTCTGGTTCCTCTCCCACTCCCTGCTGCCACGGCTGGGCTTCCGCTTCTGCTGCAGTGTTGGGGTAGACTCTGGGGTGGGCAAGGCCGTAAGGTCCAAGTGGTGCTGGTCAGCCTTAATGAGCATCTTGGCGGTGTTGCTGGGAGTGGCAAGCTTGCCGTTGTGCATGAGCGGCGTGAGGATGGCCTCTGGTTTGGGGTCTTTGGACTGGGTGTCCCCAAAGAGGCCACTGAGCTTGGTGACACTGCTCATGGATCCCCTGCGTGAGTGAGCGAGCTCCTTCTCCTTGCGCTGCACCACAGCCACATCCTTGCGCCGGTGATCACAGACACAGTACACGATGATGCCAGAGAAGACGGCCCCCATGACAAAAGCCAGAATGACTGCAATGGCCAAGAGGGTGACAGGAACGAGCTGATCATGGCCTTTGAGGTAACTTTCCCGAATCACTCCTGCAATAGACATCACACATGGTGTTAAGAAACGAAAACACAGGCGAGGCTTACCGTTGCTTGGCACTCACCCTGTTAATTGATAACAGTAATAAGTGACAGCGGCACCTCTGCATAACTTGTCTTCAGGGTACAGCTTGCCAGACATTCATCAATTAACCCCCCCACACACACACACACATTGTGAAGTGTGCAAATCAACTTCATTTGTTGCCTTCTTTGTGTTTTTTATTCTCTCCAGTACATTATTCTTCTAATTAGAACATGACATAGTTTGGGCTTTCAGAATTTACTTATGTCTCTCCCTTTTCATCTCTTATCAGTCTTCCCCTATAGAATTAGGATAACTGAGATATTTTGAGTCTGGAGGAAGAGGGATGCATATTAAATGAACAAGTCACAGAACAATGCCAGCGTCCAGTTTTCTCATGACTGCCTCCTGGCACCAAGGCCTCTATCTGGAGCAAACTATATTTGCTTTTCAAGCAACTAGAGGGTAGAGGGTGTATGTCATTTACAGTGAAAGAAAAGAGCTAAAGCTAATAGRTTACAATGTTTATGCTTATTTTGCATTAAAAAAAATCCACTCTCAATTTCAGATAAATACGCTGAATGTTTGAATGAAGCACTCTCCTCGCTGGAAATGAAAGAATATTTAGAAAAAAAAAAAAGCAGTTGGGGCCTTGTAGTGGATTTGAGAAGTGTCAGGTCCCATTATTATGCTTAGGGTTTGCTGTCACCATGAGATTCTTCGGCAGAGTTATCTCTTCAATTTAATAAAAATTATGTGACTACACCCGTCTATGCTCTTACACTACATTAACCAAGATGCTATGTTTCTGAAGGAAGTTGCTTTCCCTGTTCCTGCTTAATCAGCCACCAAGCTGAGCAACTCTAATCAAATGCAAACACCCGAAGCTTTTATTTTTTTTTAATACCACATGAGAATACACATCACAATTGTCAGATCTCAAGTGCTTGATGCAGTAGCTAAAAAAAAATAAAATCTCAAATACCTCAATTCCTGCCTCTGGAGAGGAAAAGAACATGAATACATTACAGGCACTGCATGGGCTGAGGAAATGTAAACATTGTTCCTATTATGGAAACGAGAGCAAGACAGAAAATGTACCTTCTCTGGTCTCTGGAGACACATTTTTCATCTACTAAATCAAGTCTTTCTGGAATATGTTTAATGCATTTTACTGGCAGGTATCAGTGGCACAGAATTAGAATGAAATGAAATAAAAATCTCTACCCCTTTCCAAACCCACAACATACAACCCTTAAACTTCAGCTGAAATGTTTTTTTTTTTTTTTTTTTGTGTGTGTGTGTGTGTGAAAGTTGAGACCTTGAAGAAATGCAGCTTTGTCAGATGGCCAAGTGGGGGTGAGGGGTGATTTCTTGCTCAAGTATTTTGATAACTGTGTGATGGTTTCAAAACTCTGAAGCCTCCTGCGTGAAGACGACACTCCTTTCTTTCCAGAGAACCTTCTCCCCTTGCCCTCACTTGTGACATCACATGTGGTTGCTGTGGAAATGACTGTCCTGTGACAAAGGATTGTGACCTCAGGTGGGAATCAATAGAAGCAGCAAATCTCTCTTAAGAAAAAGGATTCTGTGATTAAACAAATACCCTTGGAGATGAGGGAGATGAAGGGCAGCTGCCCTAAGAAAGAGTTTAAGAAGGGAAGATATTGAAAAAATTCTAAATGTGACACTTGCCAAATCTTTCAGATTTATCTTCATGTGATTTTAAGGGGTGGAATCAGAGAAGCAAAAAATGATTGGCTCTAACTCACACCTTTTATGTGTGGAGTTCCCCAAACAATGAAGCACCTTGCATTCAAATATGTTTTAATACCTAGTCAAGCAAGAGAATGTGCTAATGAAAAATTTCTTCATAAAATTTGCATTTCCTTGTTGTTATGCTAAAATAGCAACAGATTTTCCTTTCATTCTGATTGTGTATAGGGTTCTATTGAACATCGTTCTTAACCACCTACACATAATTGCACAAAAATGTACACCTGTGAACAAAATGGGCTTAATTTTCCTCATTGACTTGGTGATTTCAGTGGGGTCTAACATAGGCTAGCTAAGTACCCACATTGGTAGTGGGTAGTAAGTAAAATTTTTTGGTAATAGGCATTCATGGAGCCCCTTCAGGCGATCATATTTAGGGGATAGGGGACTGTGTAGTTTAATAGGAAGCAATTGACAATGGGCTTTAACAGTGTACAGTTTGAATTGACCTCTTAGTTTAAGAGGAACATGGAAAAAGTAAGGTTAAAGTCCAGCCTTGACTCCTGTTTAACCTTACTTGTTCCTAGCCTCCCTCAATCATGGGAAGAAATGTGTTTTCTTTCATTATCAAGAGTTTCAAGAGGACTCTAACCTGTCCGTGGTATAATATGTTAGGAATGGTATGTGGGTTCCTAATATAATCATTGGAATAAGAATAGCCTGAGGAAATAATGATCTTTATTTTTGAAATCTGCAGAACAAAAACATCCCCAGACTAGGTGATTAGGATCAGTTGTACTTAATTTGGCCACAAACCTCCACCTCTGTCAAGATGGACTTTAACATGAGAATGTTCTACGTCTTCCAATGGTTAGCTTGTCATATAATAAAGTTCTGGCGTCTAAACACAGTCTTGCTGATGGACTGGCTTCCGGCATGGGAGTGAGCAGTGCAAGCCTTTTGCACAGTAATAAGGTTAGAACTATTCATTTATTTCATTGGGAAAACTACACAATTTTCAAATTTATACATTGCTTCCTAACCTTACTTTTAACTCTTTTTTTTGTGTCTGAAGATCATTAGCTCAGACTCATGGAAACTACTTGCTCTTTCACTGAGAAAGACTTTTTTTTTTTTTTTTAATGGATGACACTTGAGTTCAGGTTCTTTTTTGGGGGTGGGCAGTTGTTAACAAGTCAAGCAAGATCTGACCTTTGAGGAGAYGATCTCATTTTGTTATGTAAATAGTGCCCTTAAAAACCATTATGACTTATTTCATCTTTCAGACTTAAAAGCATCTGCTTGGGCAAATTCAGAAACCCCACCCCAAATTAGAAACAGATCAGAGATTAAATTGAAAGTGCAGTTGAAGATAAGGTTAAGGGTTATTTTTGGAAATGCCTTTCCAAACAAAGCTTTCTGCTTGTATCAAGAAAAGGGCTAGGAGCATTCATGCAAATGATCAAATCAACTTTGTGGTCCTGGGATGTAGTTCAGGGGTAGAGCACTTGCCTAATGTGCACAAGGTCGTGGGTTTGATCCCTAGCATTGCAAACACAATTTTGTGGCCTGAGCATCATGAAGGATGGAACACAGCAATCTCAACTAAAGGGTCATCTGGGATGAAACAAACAACACTAGAGAATATCTCAAAGGGCCTGGAGTCTTGGGCCCATCTATAGGCTGGGTGACCTTTTGGCAAGAGACTTAACATCTCTGGGCCTCAGTTTTTTTCATCTATGATGTGGGGTTAACACAATCTTACTGTCTTACTGAGTGTTAGAAGAATCAAATAAAGAATAGGAAAAAGCTTAAATGCTGTAGTTTGCTGGGAAAATCTAAAGGTCAAAAGAAGCCACAAGATAAGTGGTAGGTGAGAGGCTCATAGAGGGCTTCAGGAGGATATAGTCACAGCTGCTCCAGTTGATGCCATTAGCTATCGATCTCCCAGGGGAAAGAGGCAGATGTGTTCTTCTCTGCTTCAAACCTGGTGCTATTCAAATGTGGTCAAGGAGATGAGAGGAAATGTTGAGAAAATGACATAAAGAAATACCTCTCTTTCTGAACTGTCTATAGGTCTTGAATTTGGAAATAATTGAAAACAAAACAGGGAAATGTCAAACAAAACAAAGGGATTGTATACTCCTAGTGCAGTAATAATCCTATAGTCAGCTCCTCCAGGACAGGGACCATGTATTATTTGCATTTATAACCTGACCACCCTCATGGCTCAGGGTAGTATAGCTAAATCCATGACTGCTGAGCACGTGATTTTTAATACACAGAGATATTTTAAAATGTACCTCTAAACTTGTAGGTCATCTTAGGAGTGACTATAACCTTGCTTTTGAAGTCACAGCAAAGAATTATATCTCTAATCATAACAGAATTTTAATAGCAGCATCTATCAGACAAATCAAATGAAATCTATAAAGGTGCTCAGTGTTTGTTCAAAACGAGGAGAGAAACAATTTTGAAAATAAAAAGAAATTGGCTCTGGGATAATTCCAAAAGAGCCAACGAGGGTAAATGGGTTATTTGTGACAACTGAGAGCTCCAGTGGAATTGAATAACTCAGAATAAATGCATCTCTGCAAAGGGCAACAGGCTGGAGCTAGGGTGAGCATCCAGCCCTTCAGATCTTGAATGGAAGTCCTGGGGAAGTGGAAAGCCTTTTTTAGGGAGGTATGCTCCCCTGCCCAGGCTTCCCCACACTGCAGAGGGAACACAGGTAGGCTTCTTCACTCTGGAGTATTGATATGCCTTTCTTTACCAAGCCCAGGCCTTCTGCTCTCACCAACTGAAAATGGGGCATTAGTAATGAAAACAGTATCTGAAACATCCTTTGCATTGATTCATTAACCACTAGCTATTTCTCACCAGTCATGGGGTGCTAAATGGTTATTCTTTCCACCTTCCTATTGCAGGAAGTAAGGCATACAATGGCTTAGAGATTTCTCTGAAATCATGCCTTAAATTGGCAGAACTGAGAAAGAATAGAATTTCCACTTTTTCTTTTCTTTTTTTCCCCCTCTGAGGTGAGAGTTTTCAGATACTACAGGGAGGCCTTAGTGAGATAGACTGAAACTCTCAGAGGCCAACACAGTGAAAAGCTTATGAAAGACCCTGCCTTGCAGGCCCAAACAACATATAATTATAAATAAGAACAATTATAAACTGCAAAGAGAAAGCCTGATACATTTCAGCATTTTCCTGTGATGACCTTGTTAATAATCTGAAATAATCACATACC